TTGCGCAGTAGAGCCGAAGACTGGTAGGGTAGGGAGTTAGCGCGCAGTAGTCCGTCGCGCAGGAGACACAATAGGTGACCTGCAGTGTAGTGCAGCGTAGTGTAGTGTAGAGTGTTAGTTAGGACTTAGAAGGTATAAAGTAGTTCAAGGCGTCTTGCCTTGAGATTCTTCCAGTTTTGGAAGTGCAGATCAGGAACTTATTTTCTCTGCGTGTTTGTGTCCTTAGTTCTGTCACCGCGCAAGAGGAGCTACAGCTTGACGAAGATACCGCATTTTGTAGCTGAAGGCCTTCGGCCGAATGTTCAAAGCTAGTAAATGGTTAGATACTTGAGCAGTTTGGATCTACACCTGCCAGTGATTGCTGAATGCTCAGAGCTAGTAGATGGTTAGATACTTGAACAGTTCGTCCCTACACCTTCGGGTGATTGTTCCTGTTTGTACTCCTTCGGGATGTTTCCCCTGAATGCCAAAGTGAATTTTTGTTACTTCGAGTAAGCCTTTGTTGTAATTCACGTTACGCTGCAGAAGGGGCCCTCGGGGCAAATCTCTTTAGTATTTCTGGGAATGACTAGTGCCTGAGAATTCAAACTCGTCAATAGACTGTTATGGTGTGCCACTGGATCTTTTCTCAGTTGAGTTTCTCAGTTTGGACATATATTCTCTGCGCGTTTTGTGAGTAGAGGGTGTTGTTCACCGCGTATGAGTGACTTCGGTTTGACGAAGATACCACATCCGAAGTAGGAAGTCCAACTCTGGTGCCATGCGCTAGCAGAAACTAGTGGAAGGGTTGTAAAAGCCGAAGTTGGGAGTCACTACCTACATGGCCTCTCAATGTACTCGTGAGAAACTTTCCCCGTGAATCTTGAGTGGAGGTCCTAATTGACCTCTTAGTTGTGCTTTCCCAGTTTCAGGTGTGTGTTGGGGTGAACTACACTGCACTGTGCGTCCTCCAAGTGACCTTCGAGTTGAGCACTTGCAGTATTTCTAGGAGTGACAGTCGCCTGAGAATTCAAACTCTTCAATAGTCTGTTAAACGTGACACTTTGTACTCTGTGTGTTGCCTCTGTCCCTGTGGGTTTGACCTTTTTGTTGCTATACTGCAGTTTTAGCCTTTGGTGGGTTATTACAGGTTTTTTCAACTATGAACTCAGCTCAATTCACAGAGCTGTATATGGCTTTATCCTTGTGTGAAATGACAAAAAAAATCTTGAGGAAGATCCTGTCTTGCGACCCTAATGCTAGATGTGATGAAAATCAACCAATTCTCCAACTCAGTTTTGAGACAAGCATCTGATTTCTTTGAGAATTTTTTCTCACCATTTTTTTACCTATAAACAAAAAGAAAAACCCAGAATTGATCTGTTTGAGGAAATAGCATATTTTGAAGGGTACGAAAAATCCATTGTCCTGCAAGATCTCAAACTGAGATTTGCATTTTGTCATTGTTTTGCAAAAGCTCCACTTCAATCCCTTTCGTCCTCCACAATACCTTCCATTTATTGAATGCACTGCTTCTGTGTAACCAGCTATGATTTATCCTCATCAAGGTTTTACGCAATTGAGTTTTTCATGCACGTCAAATCACAAAATACGCAACTTGTTATTAACTACATCTTCACAAATGCTTTGAATTGATATTTAATGAGATAGAATATGACATGATATTGTTTTGATATGTGAAGAATAATTTGATTGAAAAATGTAGAATCACCAAAACAATTGAAGTTAAATTATCAATGATTTACAAATTAGATTTTTATTTCTTTCCCTTACTATTTGTCTCTTACAATCTCTTCTGGACTGAATTTTCTCCCGTTTTCCCAATCATCGTGAGAATACTGAAAGAATAATTTTTGTATAACTTTCATCACGAGTTAATACATGTATACTAAGAGATTTTAGAGATTTGATTTCCCTACCTAATAGGTTTAATGATAACATCACTTCATCTTCGCTCCTGGTATAGAGTTCAAGTTCCGCTGTGGGGTCCTTGACATCGGACCTAGCAGAACGAGCAAGAGCTTCTATTGACTTCCCGTCATCATGTTTGAACCAAAACTTTGCAAGTATAGGTGTCGCTATAGCGTTGTCACACATGAATGCGCCGAGCTGGTGCCATTCCTTAGAACTCATCTTCAGGTCCAACTGACTTTCTTCACTGATGGGTTGGAAATAAGAATTTCCCTTAAAGAGTCTCCGAGTCTATCAATCCCCTGCAGAAGAAGACGTTCAATGGACCGGTTGCGATCGTCTCCTGCCAATGCTTTCAGCAACAAGGGCCCTCCCCACTTACCGCGCCTCCTAGGGTCAATACCTTCAACGACGAGCTCTGGACCAAGGCCTGGGACAGGATTCCAACGGTATCGTCCTCCATGTCCTCATAGAAGCCTAAATCCAACGTTTCTAACAGAGGAGCACTGTTGATCATCTCAGCCACATGCTTCACCGCACTCTAAACTTTCGATTCTAAACTCACGTGGTAGGACGCGTCCTACCACATGAGTTTAGAATCGAAATGTCCTCCCAGTTCTGAGGCAAGATTCAAGAAACATCTGGCACTCAATCTGCAATTGTACAGTGTTAATTCTGTTACGCTAGAGGAATTCAGAATTGTCCCCAGCTGTAAACACAAGCTCTCCACTTACGCATCTGAACCCCTTAACACATAAACATATATCTGCTTTAGAACGGTGCTAAACCTGAAAACTACCTCCCACTCGCGTGCCGTCAACCTCGATATATCTCCCCCACAAATATAATACAATTCCAGATTCTCAAAGTTGTTGCAGTTGCCGATTGCCTCCGGCACTCGAACGCGCACTTGGCTTCGCCACCCTAAGATTGTTGAGAGTGATGCACGCTCCGGAAAGAACTCCAGAAACTCTGGCTTGCGTTGGTTCTACGGAACTTACTTTCTCGCCCATTGGATTTAAAAAAATCAGAAGGAGATGGGATATTATTCTGGGCTGTAATCAGAGAGCATCGACATTGTGCTATTAGCACGGAGAGAAAGCTTTTTAACAGCTGAATAACTTCTTACATTCGAAGCAAGGTATGTAAGAAGCTTTGTTTGATCTATGGCAACCTCTAAACATACTTGCTGCTGCGGTCCAAGCTCCATTGGCGTTCCCAACGACTCATAAAGCTTACTTTACACCTCTCATTTACGTCTAGATTAAAGTACCATGATGCGACTTAATTAAGCTAATATAGGTAATTAAGACGCCCCCTTTAACTAACGAATCCTACACATGAGCAATGAAGATGTGGAGAGATGTAAAAAATCTAAGAGAGTAAACAAGATTTTGATAAGACTAATTAATGCAATTCTGAAAAGCCAAATATCAAAGTCAAGCCAAGATTTAGAAGTACGCACCTTTGTCTTAACAAGAAGACAAGTGAGCTTTTGTGTACAAAGCATATTTAATTCTATTTAGATTGATTGTAAAGTTTGTTCAAATTATGAGAACATGAATTTTTTTTATAATTCTCTAGTTGCATTTGTGAATAATGAGTAGGAAGATGTAAGTTCATGTCATACCTTGAGGCTAAAGCGTCTATTTTATGACGAATACATCCATATGATATATATGTTTGCAATCATTCAACAACAAATTATTGGACATATTGTGATAAATAATTAGCTTCATCAACTTTCAATTTGATGAATTATTTGCTTGTGATTCAATTCTATCACTGTAAAATTTACTATGTTATCAATAATGTTCCACATTTATTTACTTTCAAATAGTCTGATAGATGTACTGCAATAGTTAAAAAAGAATTGCAAGATTAATTCATTGTTTTTGGTAACGAGCACATATATTTCTCAAGCAATCAAGCAAAAGAATCTATTGTATCATGACAATTCAAATGAAAATTTGAGATAATAGATGTCTTCAGTTTGATATATGTTATTCCGTCAAATATTTTTATCAATCAATATATTATTCTTTTAAAATAATAAAATATTGAAACTTACATGAACCATCTAATACCAAACAAGATTTGTTCATACGTATCTCGTTAAGTGTCAACTATATAACATGAACAATTGTTGCATTCTTTAAAAGTCACTCATTAACACTTCAAAAAGAAAAAATTGTATCTTACAGTCTAAAAGTGATAATATATGATCATGTCATTTCTTTACATCCTTGTAGCTATTTATTTCTTATTCAGTCATTGAAATTATAAAATTTAACACATTTTCAGTTTTGAAAGCACTGTCTAGACATTAACAACTACACCTACGACTGCACTTCCCCACCCGACTTTCTACTTGAGGGCATATACAGGATTTTCTTCAGAAACTTTCCTCGATGAATCTTCCGTGCATTTATTTCTAGAATAATAAACTTTATCTAGTTATTTATCATGTGCACAACGGGTTGAGGTAGCGCTAAGACAATTTCACCAGTTATGACTTTCTGGACATCAAATCGAAGATCATGAAGAACGGCAAGAGGAAAGAAATAATGCTTCAGTCAAAACTTACTTCAACACAATTCCGTATATAGTAACACAAGGTGTAGGCTGGAACAATTTCTCACCACAACACTGCTATGATAGAAGTCCGATTTCTATGTTCAAATTGGAATGATTTTCATATCAAAGACCTGAAATAAGAATGAGACGGCGATGATCCAAGCGAGTGGATGGAGTACAGGCGGTAGCGAAGGCTAGGGTGCGTTGTGAAGTAGAATATTCTCGAGAATGAGTAAACTGACGCGGTACTGGGACCTGGAAGCGAGGACGGACGCCCAGCGGTCACTGAGCCCGCTGAATACTGAATACAACCACTAGAACAAAATCTAGAGGACATGAGAACGACCGCCCCGGTCAGAGGTCCAGAGTGGACCGGTGGGAGTACGTCTGAGCGCGATGTGTGAAGAGGAAACCGAAAGGCAACGGGCGAAACAGCCGGTACAGGTCTCCGAACGGAGCTGGAGCGTGAATTCCAGTCATTCTTGATGAGTCGACAACTCATTCGCCTTTCTGAAGGATTTTGTTTGTTTTCTGTCCTCGTGATAGTCGACGACGATGATCGAGGTCCGTCTTCTCCATGCCCGCGGTTTTGGATTGCCCTGTGCTCGAGTGCTTTCGTAGGGAATATTGCGTCCGCCTTAGTTTTACGGAGATGGTCGATTTGAACTATTCTTATTTCTCGGATTTTGGTAATAATCGCGACATTTCATCGTGCAGATGTTTTGGGGAGGAGGAAGGGTATGCCGCGCTCGATAGGCAGCGTCACGAGAGCTCTCAGCTTGTTGCGAGCTCGTACGATTGGGTTGCATAAAAAGGTGAGAGAATCACGAGGCCGAAGCGCCCCTGGAGAAACCAGAGCTATGAATTGGTATCCAGGGCTTTTGCTTGCTGAGATTTTTTGCGGATCCTTTGTTTCAGCGTGAAATCATGATCTTAAGATTGTCCCGCCTCTCTGTCAATTTGGTCGGAAGCGTCCATTATGACACTCAAGGGATCGTGGCGTCCAGGAAAGTGCTGAAGGGTGAAGACGAAAGACGTGCACTTCGGACCTGGCTTAGAAAATATGGGAGCCGTTCGTGATGAGGGAGTTGTCGGTCGTTGTGGCGAATTGTCCGAGGATGAGGAGGCTGACCCGGAGAAGCTTTGCAGCCGCTTTTCTCCGAAGTTGCTCGTAAGACATTTCTTCTCATGTGGCCATGAGAAGTAGATAAAGTGTGTTGAGTAGAAGTTGGGCTTGACTCTCATGCAAACTTCAATATAGATGCGGAACCTGGCGGTGCACGCACGATCCCTTCCATTTTGGACGAGACTTGTGCGCAGGGGCCTGTGTTCCTAAGTCTTGTGTTCCTTCTGAAGTCCTCAAGCGCTTTAGATGACGTCCAAGCAGAAGCAGGTTCGATTCGTTCTATTAGTAATTCGACGTATTATTATGCCATTATTTTGTGAAGACGATTCCAGACTTCGTCTAGGTCATGCAACAGCCCAGACTGGCATTTGATTTAGCTTACCAAGACTTAATTTTGACCACTGCAGGATGGCGAAGCCGAGAGCAGAACATGTGGTATATGTTCCATTGTTGTGCAGACCAGAGGGCTGCTTGACTGCTGCAGTCACTTGTAAGTTTTGCAAGTCAGCTATACGGGGTTGAATGGTTGCAAACTTCGATACCGGGATACCTGTGATTTCAAGCATTTGTGGAGACGAAGAAGTTGTTGATTTTCCTCTTCTACATTGCAGGTTTTGCTTTGGTTGCATCACGGAATGGTTCACAGTGTCAAATCTGTGCCCTCTTTGTAAATCTCGCTCGAGGTTTATCACTCCTCAAGTGAGCCATACTCTTTCAGCTGTTTTGTATTTTCGTACTGAGTGTCCTGCGTGTATTTACAGCTCAATGTTCTCGAACCCATTTCAGATTATTTTAGCCTACCCTTATAAAAATAGGATCTTATACCTTTGCAAAGTTTGACGTTTTTTGTTTTTGGATATGTTTCTCATATGCAGATGCTCTCTAGAGGTACAGGGTGTTGGGAGAAACTCGAGAGTTGTACCGGATCCGTTAGTAGGTGAGATCATACACAAGAGGACAATGGTACTGAACATATACATTAGTAGATACTGAAATGCTTTTCGGAATTATGCTGTGAACACCTTCCAGAGGCACTTTCTGCTGATGGAAGGAAGTTGTTTGTATGTGCCGGTGAGCTGATTGAAAAGTATTTTACAGGGATGAAGGACCAGGTGATGAAGACGGTCACCCAGTCTCTTTTCCTCCATATTTTATCGATGAGGAGGTATTTCGTCACATCTCTTGCTTCAGATTAGAGTCATAAAAAGAGCCAGGTACCTGGCAGATGGTGACTAGATATTCTGGTTGTACTGCGAAATTCTTCATTGAAACGTTCAGGCACCTGCTAACTAGTAATAAAATACCTACACGATTACTTTCTAGCTTTCCATGCCCTCATGATTTAAGCTTTCCTTATTTTCAGTTAAGTTTTCGAATGAAATTCCTAAATCACGTATCTCGGAATGTCAGGCTGTATTGTGCCTAGAGGGTGATGCCTGCCTTGTTAGGGCTGGGCTGTTAGACCTCGATGCAGAAGAGAATGCATCCTCCGATACATCCGTCGCTTGTGACCTTTGTGATTGCTGGTTCGTTCCTTCTTCACTATTCAATCTTGAAGTTGTATCTAATGCAGTATAGTGCCTGATGGAGTATTGCAATGGTTTCATTCTTTCCTTTGGTACATCATATTCGTAAAAAAATTTCTTTCTGATCATGTATGTTCGGCTTAGGAACAAGTTCGTTGATTTTCACCCAAACTCTCGGGTCTTCTAAGAGGGTTAGATCCTGTATCTTGCAGGTATCATGGAGGATGTGTAAATTTCCAACCCGACCAGTCATCATTTCATTGTCCCAGGTATGTGAGCAGGGTGCTGAGTACGTACTGTTATGTCACTTAAATTTTCCCGTCTTACGTCGCATGGCAGTTGCATGTAAGCTTGTTTTGGACACACGTTTGGACTATGTTCTCTTCTTTAATTCTTACCGTAAGTTCTATCTGTTCTGTTCTTATGCGAATCCGCAAACAGAATTGTTTTGAGTAATCAGTGAAATTTGATGGCTAAATTATACAGAGAGAAGAACTCTTAGGCTAAAGAATGGTTGCTGGCAAAACTCACCTTTAATTTAACCTGAATATTTACAGCACTCTTTTAAAGGGATATGGTGGTATTTAAAGTGACATCATACTAAAAGTACTGGAAAGACCCATTTAGATTATTCAACTTTGCTCAAGTTTTCATATTATGTAGTGGTTAGTTTTATGGTTTAGTTGAATGTAATGTTAGCTGATTGTCTCCTTGCAATTTGAATTTATGCTTCATCCATTGATCCATCCACCTCTACCGTGCTTGTTTTGCCAATATTATCCATTTCTCGGATCCGGAGCTCTCCCTATCCTTAAACATAACTCGTTAAACAAACTGCCCTACATCAACATTTGTCGCTCGTCTTCTTCTGAGCAATACGTTCAGTTACATTTTCTCTGATAGAGCACCTGTTTGCTATAGAGCATACAGTGTTCAGTTCTGGTCAAGGTGCTCACATTGTATCGATGTCCACTGTGGGCACCTGTACTATCAATGTCACGGTGGTACTTTATGGAGAAGTTTATTGAAATTTACATCAATTATCTACTCTGCAGGTGCCTTGAGTCGAAGGAAAAGGATCGAGCGTCTCTGGATACATCAGTGTCGTTGACCGTAACTTCATCTGAAGAGAAAACCTCCACAGTGATGAAGAACTTTCCTTCAGAGGATAATGGTCGAACAATGTTTGGAGGTGCATCTGTAGCAATCGAAGATACCGAGGAGGGTGAATCTCATGTGTCTATTTCACTACTTCGCATCCCTGAGAGAGAGCCTGCGAGAGCTCAAACTACAGCACCAGATACAGAAAGAGAAATTATGTGGTCGCCAATTCGAGAACCGTTTGCAACCCCAGCGTATGGGGCAGCATGGTCGCATTTTCAAGAGCCTTCCAGAAGACCACGAAACTTCAACGAGGGACTTCCTTCCTCTGCTCGGGAGCCGACTAGGAACGTTCCATATTTCGAGGAAGAGATGTGGTCTCCTACACGAGAGCCTAGCGGGAAAGTCCCACAATTTCAAGAAGAACTATGGTCGCCTACACGAGAAACTCCCGGTGATCTGTCTCTGTTAGGAGCTCGGTCTAGAAATAATGCGGCAACAGCTAAAAGTTTTAGGGCAGCGAATCCTCCAAAACCTGAACTTAACGCTCGTGGCCCACGTGTAGTAGTTCCTACCAGATCCGAGCTTCTCAATAATTCTGAAAGGATCGCAAAGCATTCGGCTGGTGTTGCGAAGAAAGTTACTGCTAGTGAGATTTCTGGTGCGACATTACCCCTGAATACAATGGACAATATTGTCCAACCCTTGGGTGTGATTAAGGGTGAGTTATCCATAGATGTTGATCGTCTTCAAGTTGCGGTGGAGCAGCTGAGGAAGGGCAAACGTAAAGTTTTACAAGAAGACGAGTGAGTACTTATCAATCGTTGTGCTTTTCATGTATAGCCTGTAGTTAGCAGGATGTCTTGCTGACGTCTAGATTTCAAATCATGCTCACAGCTTTTTGACTCGTTTTTGCCATGCTGTATTGTGTTTATCAGGAGAAACATCGACTTCAAAGATTTACCTGAATTGCCACGAAAAGTCGCACGGAAGTCAACAAAAATTGTTGATAGCGTGGCTGCAATTAAGGACATAGCCAAAACAGGGACAAGAGATCTGATAGTATGTGAACAGACTGCTGTTGAGGATGTGAATCCCCCGGCACAGGTTTGTACTTTGGACGACAAAACTGTGGTTGCAAGTGAGGATACTCTGAAGGTGGCAACGGACGTAGTTAAAGAAGAAGCTCTTGATACCCAACATGCCCAAGCGATTGATGCTCCGATACATTTACATGTATCGGAGCGGAAGACAGAAGTGGATGGTTTGGACGACAAGTCTCGGGTAATTTCTGAGGAGATTTCGAAGGTAGTAACTGAGGTTGAAACCGCAGGACAGATAACTCCTTGTCTCAAGTCTCTAGACGATCTTGCTACAAAGACAGAATCAACTGAGGTAAGAAATGAAGAGCAGCTAGCAACCCTTCAAAGTGAGGAACCAACTGCTCCTGAGACTAAAACGGAGATACCTACTTTGGAAGCCTGTCCAGATGTGGATGTCATGGATATTGTCAGTGATCCAAGGAGTGGCTTGGGCAGAGACTCCAAGGATCCATCTGTCCCTACGAAGGCTGTTAGAACTAGAATCATTATGCACCGTGAATCTGATGTCAAGGATAAAGAGAGACCTTCTCTTGTCGAGCGTATCAGACAACAGATGCGGGATACTGCAGGATACGGGGCGGGAGATGACCTAGGTAAGGTTGAGGTATCAGACGACAGGTTCATAGCTGCTTTCAAGGCAGCTCAGACCAGGAGTTATGAGAAATCCAAGGACGGGAAATCAGCTTCTTCAAGGCAGCAGAGTTCCGGACGCCTATGGAAAGTTCTCGATAAGAAGTATAGTGGTACTGGAGCCAGAGATAATCTTACACGCAAGCTTTACGCAGGAGGAACTGGTCGCAGGTGCTGGGATAGGGATTGGGACATAGCCTTTTGGAGGGAGCGCGATCCTCATCAGAGAAGAGCTCGAAAAGAAGCTGAAGAGGTCGATGTTTTAGGGAAGATAGATGCACGAGTACCTGAGTCGCAGCCTGACTCCGAAGATGCAGATTTTTTCAAGAGGCTCTATGTAGCTGACACGTCCTTGTTTCCTAGAAACGAAAATGTCAAACCTCTCTCCGAAGAGGGAAATCATGCAGAAGAGATAAATGCATCTCAATCAGTGGAAATTAGGACAGGAAAGATCTCAAACCTTCATGTCGACAATGTGAACCTCGCACACGGGTTGAAGGATACTGCACATCGGTCCCCCGTTTCTCAGGGTTTGTCGGGAAATACACCGGGTATCGACAAGATCTCCCAGAAGGCGAAAGTTGGAGATCCTCCTCCATCGAAGGTTGTGAAAAAGTCTTTGAGGCCGTCTGGTGTGTCAAAAGAACCTGCAGTAAATTCGAAGACAACTTCAGGAGCCGGAAAGTCTCTGGTGGCCCCATCTACTGTCCCTAAAGCTCAACACAAGGATAAGGATGCACCATCTGCACTCCCAAGTATGAACAAAGACAAGCGACAGTGGGCGTTGGAAATTTTGGCGAGAAAGGAAGGGAAGCTTTCAAATGTCTCTGCATCGGGAAAGGGAGCAGGAGCAGGTGGCTCTGTTAGCAAAGACAATCCGTTCCCCCTTCTGGTAATGTCAGAAGAGTAGAGTTACATGAGTGTGTTAGTTTTCATATGCTTTTAGGACCAAAACTTGATCTACACTTGATGCCGATGATGTCGTAATCTAAGAGAATACTTTTTGAGATGCTTGGGGGTGCCTGTATGATTACCTTTTAAATGAAAAGTGTTTTTTAATTTTTCGGTTTGTTCGTTTTGATATGTTAGTTTAGAGATTGGTCTAATACAAAACTTCTTTGATTTGCATCTCAGTTGCAGCTGCCTGTGGAGATGAGACCCTTGATACTTGGAGATAGTCGACGCAGTAAAGTACCACCTGCAGTCCGACAGGTGTCTGCTCACTCTTCGTCTCATGAAAAAACAACTGTTGATTCCTGCCATAGTCGACATGTGTAATCTAAATTTGCTGCACCTTTTACTATCTTCTTTAGAGCTAACCAAGTATCACATTGAAATACAGGTGTAAAAGTGTAGGTAGCGTTTTCTTAGGTTTTTACTTCCTTTCTAAGGGAGCTGAAATTGAGGTTCTTGATAATTGTTCATCTTCAGTTCAAGGCCATTTAGGAGAAAATAGTTGATCACAACAATTGTAGTTTGTGGCCTGAGGAAAACGCTCGTTTCTTGTCCTACTCCTTATTTTTTCTCTGTCACTATGTATGTGGCTTCATGAATAGTGGCAGAATGATTCTGAAGTGAAAAAAAATTAGGGCTGTGCATGATCTGATGAGTTTCTGATTGTAAATGGTACGTTTATCGACAGGTACAACTCAATCGGTTGGTAGAGCAGGAACTGAAGAGGGCGAACCTTACAATAATAGAGTCGAACTCCGAATGCGCCGATGCCATAGCTAAGGCAGTAAGTAGAGAGGAGGAGCTATGTAAAAGTTCAAATAGTAAAGGTGTGTATATAAATCGATGTGTCAGGGCTTTGGCCAATACAGATTATGAGCTGAAGACAGTAGAGACTTCACCGGATGACGATCGTGATGAATCTGAAGCAAGGCTAGAAGAGTCATCAAGGGTTACAGACGATGAAGCAGTTCGAAAAGCTCTCGAGGACACTGGGTTGATGGACTCACCAACCGCTGACTCCACCAGTTCCCCCCATCATCTTGATGTGAACACTAGGGAAGACAAGTTGGATGTCAAATGCAAAACCTTAGACATGAATGGAGGGAGTAGTATCCCAAGATTAGTACAGAATCCGTGGGTTGAGAATGTTCTAGAGGTGGAGAACGCAGATTTAGATATCTACGGAGATTTCGAGTTTAGTTCAGAAGATGAACCAGATGGCAACTTATTCAAGGAGAATATTCAAAAACTGAAGCATAATCCTGCTGCAGAAGGTAAGGCTAAGAATGGTTCACTGATGGTTGTACTTACAACTGGAAGCTGTACCTCAGATGCAGCTTCAGTGCCGGGTGACGCTGAAGTACCTGCCAAGAATCTTGTAGGCAAGCAACCAGTTCAAGAACAAGGAGGTGCTTTGTTGTGTAGTGAAGATGGTGGTGTGCGTGCCAGTACGTCACCAACTGTCGAAGATGTAAAATGTGGCCTTCCTGCGGAGGCGAGTTTTGATGATGTTGATGATATGTACGACAATTTGGAGTTAAATCTTAACCCCGTTTTATCTAATGAAGTCTTGGCCCAACTTCAAGCCGAACCATCTGCTTCCTTATTATCGAAAGCAGAATCAAAAGAAACTCATGAGGAATCGAAGACACTCCCTGCACCGAATGCAGACGTAAAGAAGAGGAAAGAAAATGAGACTCTACCGAATGGTGATGCTGCAGCCAATGAAAATGTAAGTGAGGATGATTGCATGAAGTTTGCGGATATTGATCGACGCATCGAGAATATTCGAAGAAGTAAGGCTATGAACGGAGACTCTCATCGCAACAAGAAATCGAAGGGTCGCGTTCATGGAGAAGCTAAGAAGACGACTGAAACAAATGTACAAATGCAGGTGCGTAAGTTATTTGGAATCTCAAGCCAAAAATAGTTAAACGAAGTGATTGTACAACATCATTAGTGTTTACAAAATTGTAGTTATAAAAGATAGTACTATTTGTGACGCCAAGAGGATTGCTTCATCTCATGCACTCTGAGTCCGGAAAGAAAGAAAGATGAATCGTCTAGACCTCATGGCGAACCTTTCAATTTATCGTCCGTGTGGCGGATAGATTCGGGTGAGGAATCACTACTTTATGTAGTCGAAGGCAGCTTTCTAATTATCTACTCATACCTAGAGCTAAGCTGGAATTGCTACATGAGAACAAGATACTTTCCCTGAGATGCATGAAAGGAACAGCTGTATGAAAAGACCTACCCATGGGATATGGTCAAGAATATTACTCTAATCTAGCCTGAGAAATGGTTTTTATTGCAGGTAGAGATATATGTCAATCAGCACTTGAAGCCCTTGTACCGGAGTCAAGTGATTACAGCGGAGCAATTTAAGTGGACTGTTTCAAAAACTGCTGCCAAAGTCATGGAACATCATGGAAATGCCGTCTCCGCCGACTTTCTCATCTCTGAAGGAAGTAAAGTCAAAAAGCTTGCTGATCAGTACTTGCAGGCCTTTGCTCACCGCAAAGCTTAGTGATGTGGTACGCCGGATTAATTTCTCATATTGCTTACGAGAAGAGGTCCGTCCGATGATGTGCGTTGACATTGAGATCTCCAAGCAGTCAGCAGTAGGTTTTCTTGTTCGCGTAGAAATTTGTGGCATCACTTTGCCACTACAATAACCGACGAGCCCAATCTTCAAAGCTTACCAGACTGTACCCGGAGATCCTACAGATGGTGAAAGATCTTGCTTTGTTATGAAGCTTTCATACAGTATCTTGGAAGCAGACTATCAGAAGTATGTTGAAATCTCCGAAGAAGGTAGCGAACATGCTGTACTTGCTGATTTTTGTTTCTAAGACTTCTCGAAAAATAGGACAGTTATGAGCTATCACATCATCTTCAACTCAGGACGGACGTTTCAGCGCAAGGTTCTCATACGGGTGCACCGCAGAATGGGTCTTGAAGAGAACTATCGGCGTGTTAGCGAAGAGGAAACTATATGGCTTGAAGGTATTGTGAGGACACCCCTTTTATATGATTTCATTCTTCGCAGGGCTGTTAAGAACAAATGTAGGTTTCTTATCAACATGGAAGCCTTGAACTTATAGCATGTTCTGGTATTGAAGAGTTACACGACACGTATAAAACTCATGTTTTTTGCTTATAATTAACAACGGTAATTGTTTGAAATGTTTGTTTTTTAGTAAAAGTAAATATGGATAGATAAGTGACACAGTCGAGGAGATGGATCGCATATCTTCACAACAGGACTCAACTCTTGTTATGGTGCAACTGTTCACTGATACCCTAGTTCGGTCAAAACTACTACCTGACAAATTTCTTCCAAATGTGCAGAGGCCCATCTTGATCTCAACATGTGTTTTTTGGGATACTCAGAGAGAAAGACGGACAGGACTGCGAACTTCGAATATCCAACAATCTTCATCCATATTGTGCTTGAGGACTATGGTTTGAACACAATATTGGATGATTTTCCTGTTTAACCAATATGATTGAAATAGTAAACGTAAAAAGCCACAAATTGTTGGTCTTTTTTTCCACCAGTGAAACACATCTTTCTTTGCTCTCTTTGTTGTGTATGCACTTTGTAAGAAAAACTTTACATGCACATGACAGATTGCAGATGAAAGTGTCAACATTTAACACAGAAAAAGACAGGAGAAGTCATATGATAGTAGTGTTGATATAGCCAAATTCGTGCTGATTATGGTCATCTTAAGTCAACCTGAGTGTAATAGGAAGGTTTTGAAGGTGTAGGCTAAAGGAAAATCTAACAGAGAAACGGCTTCGAGTATGTTGAGAGAACTTATATCCTCATCTTACCACCTCTTGCTCATGAAGATTGTGGTGATGATGCATCGATTGCGGTCATTTTTAGACCCTAGACCAGTGCTTTGGAAGGACGGTGAGAGGCTCAAGGATGGGTTGAGGTAGTTACAAGTTATGGTTAGGACAAGCATTTACGAGGAGAACGATTCTTGCAATGGAAGAGAACGATATTTTGAAGTTGAGGGTTTGCGTTTTGAATATCAGTGCAACTCGAGTCAAGCTCTGAGGTTACCCGGAATTAGATCCGAATGAAAATTAGGCCATGAACTTACGTTCATGGCCTATATGAATGTAATGAATGTATACTGGTCCTCTAAAATGAGTACAGGGCAAGTTTTTGCATGGATGTAACGTCTTGTTGTGTTGCCTAAAAATGCCTGTTTCTTTGGATTTAACCAGGAAACAAAAACTGAAATGTCAGGAATATCAGACTTGAAGCTATTCTCTCCAGAATAGGTATTTATCTTGTAGAGACGATCTTTGAATTTTTTCACGTTTGCCCTGATCAAATCTACACTTGTTATAAGGAATGCTATCTCATATCGCTTATTAAGAGTGTATTCTGTTCTCAAAGCTCGAGTTGTATCATCAGTCGTATGCTGTTTTATATTGCTGGGTCTCATTCTCCTTGGCCTTTTCAAGCAATATCTGCATTTAACTTTACTCAAAAATCAACTACTAACGTGGCCAAATGAATCATATTTTGTCAAGAAAAAGGCGACAGGTAGCTGGTATCTCCATTGTATGTTTTCTTCGTAACCGCTCTCTTCCTATCCCACTTACGTAAAAAAGTTGTAGTATACTCATACTTCCATCTTTTAGTAATTTCAACCATTCATATTTTCATAGAGGGTTCGGTAAAGTGTCGACTTGACAATGATGCCTATGCCTGTGCAAGTTTTAGGATTGTACCGTGTCCTCTCATGGAATTTTAGAAACTGTATGCAGAAACTTGTGTACCCTGTTCTGCGTTCTTGTCCAAATGTATTGCTTGAAGGGATGACGCTCTTTCCACTCGTCTTGTATTCTTCAGAAGTAGGATATACATGATCAGGGCGCTCACGGAAGATCGGGCGATTGTAACTATGTGCCAATCCAGGAAGAATTTATTAGAGCTCGCTGGGAGTTTGATGCATGAGGCAGATTCACTTGTAGCATTATTGGTGATATGCATTATTAATTCACAAGTTGACAGCTTGTTCTAGGTGTAGGGTGCAGTGCAGTACTTAGCGAGCGTCACCGTAATCACCTTTATCCTTCTCATATGGAATTTGTTGGATTATTGCGTTTGTACTTTGTGTGCAATGGCTTCTCTTCAGAAAAACTTGCGAGGTGTGACGAGACGATCATGCCTAAGAATTAACAGAAGGGGTGCAAACTCCTTATTGGTGTGATTTCGTCAGCTGTTTGCATGCATTCGGTCGTTTTCCTCAATTTTGTTATGAGCGTACATGAATCGGGACCATTCATCCAGGCATGGACGTAAGCCACGAGACCTGATGTTAATGGAGTAGAGCGTTAGAGATGAAAAATTCCTGTCGCCTGAGGCATCACGCGTAGTTTGTAGTAATGCACTTTATTCTTGCTAATGTACTGAGTGAGACAGATACCTCCTCTACTCTTGTACTGTACAGGTCCATGTTCTTCAACAGGGAAGCGAATTATATAAACGCGTTGTAGAGAGTATGTGAGGGCTGCTGTGAAATCTTCTCGTGTTCTTTGAAGCTGTCACAAGGTGTTCTGGACAAATCGGTCTTAGTTCATACAACTATCAAGAGACGCAACACACTCAGTAGACTCATGATAGAAAATCTTGGGTTCAGAATTCTCCAAAAACCATGTATGTTATACCTCTCATTCTAATAAGATTCATGAATCAGGAAGTGGCAGCTTATGGAACGAGAGGAAGAAGGGTGTAGCACACATGCTTCACAGAAATTGCACTCTTGACGTAACGAGTTCTGCCAACGGGCTTTACAACTGGAGAAACCATGTCGCATATCGTATGCTACCACACTCCTTGTGAATTGTGGTCATGCGTTGCCGGCGGATCATTGTAATGTGGCGGTCATTGTAAAGGAGTAAAGGACTTCAAAAGATTGAATTACACCGCGGTTGGTCGGATAGAGCACAAAAACAAGAGTTGGGAAAAAGAGGAAGATCAAGGTTGAAACACAATTAACTTAAATTCGCTCGCATCTTGAAGGATTCGGTTCCAAAGTGAGTTGAAAGTCGAGTTTTTCAAATTAAAATTCAATTTTATCTCCACAAGACATCTTCAAGTAGTTTGGATGTATAATCTAGTCAGAAAAAATATCCTCAAAAATCATCCACTCAAACGCAAGTTTAAACTACATGTCACGACACCCCAACATTCTTGATTCTTCCAGCGATCTCTCTGTACATACTTGATTGCAACAATCAAAGATTGTGAAACAATATCTTGAACATATGAGGATCATATCCATCCAATATCAATTCTTTGCAGTTAGATGTAAACATCTCTTTAACAAATGTCTCAACTACATAATTTTAAAAATGTTGGGAGAAGTTGGTGGACCTTTATAGAATATCATTCATTCTGTACATATTGATGATTAGTCGCAGCGTGGTCATGCAGTACAGTTTTTTCCGTCGACGAGATCATTATCCACACTATCAAGTCTACCTATCAAATCTCATTCTTTTTGTATACACTTTTTTATTTTACATTCTACTGCAATTTATTAGCATCATTCAAGTGAACACTATGCATCCATGTACTAGTTCTCAACAAGGAATATCTTTTGGTGTAACCTTTATTTGCCATGGCTCATTTATAAAGCTCTCATGACTACAACTTTAGGCATAATTGGATCTGTTATCCTCTTTAGTGGTTGTTACAAACATTGTGAGTGTTGTTGACATCTCTTGAAGACATGACTTTCAGTACTTGATTCGTAAACTTCATCATATAGGCTTAGAATTAAGGTGTCAAAACATAGTCTTAAGCCATGTGGTACTTTTAAGCCATTTTTACATATTTGGAGCTTTTATTAACGAAAAGCACATACAATGATGAATGCTGGTTGGGTCCGAGAATTTCATCTCATCATATTTCAACTCAGCATTCTGGCTGAGGATTTATTACCCAATGGATGATCTCTCTCTATGGAGTACCTCTAGGTCATATGTAATGTTGATATATTCTTTTCTATAATTGCATGTCAATCCGATTTTCTTTTTTGTGCAATACCAGTTTCCTTTCTCTATCTATCAAGCTTCAAGGAGACTTTTGAAATAGTCATAGAACTTAAAGCTCTCATGTGTGAGGAGAAGATTTACATTGAAATCACATACTTTTTTGATTATGTGCGGAAGAATAGATTAACTATAAATAGAGTAGACTGTATATTTAGCATTCTTTGCCAATTGAACATTTTTGCCATCCTTTTATCTTCTTGTTTAATGGTTGGTATATTTATACTATGAAATATGTGGATACATTATTGTAATACTCAATGTATTCCTATATCAAACAAGAAACACTTCAGTCTTTGAAGTGTCATATGCATTTGCTCTTGTCTTCTAACTTCATAGATGATACTAAAAATTTACACGTCTTTTTTGAAAGATCGATTGTTATGAGATATTAGAGTTGTGGATATTCTAATGATGTATCAGTATCAAAACTTCACTTAGTTAAGACTAATCTATACTTGGTTCACAATATCAAATCGTTATTATAGATATTACCAATAAACATATGATAGACTTCTTTTTCAGATGATTATACATCAACGTGGATAAGCAATCAATGTTTTTAAGTAGACTAAATAATAAGAGAAAATATCTTCTTGTTCCTTTATCTTTAGAGTTGTTTAGACTTTGATATGTTATTATGGAGTGAGAGGTTATCAAGTTAGACAAAAAAATAATATTATTATACACTCTAGCATACTGTTGTTTCTTTTAGACAACGTACCTCCAATTCTCTAAAATCAAGCTCGTAAATGCTATGAATAATAACATAATCATACTAGATGATACAACATCCAAGATTCACGTTGTTCATATAGATGATTAATCTAATTACAAAGATGAAAAAAAATTCATCATTTTATTAAACTTTGTGTTGAAAAGATCAAGTGTGTGACTCATATGTTATATATAAATTCAAAGTCAATGTTTTGCTTCACAATTGACTTCAAATCAAACTTTCACAACCTCATTAGTAATTTCCAAGTGATTGATCATAAGATCAACTACATATATGTTATGGAGATCACCTTGCTCTATGGTTTAGAAAGTTTGTTTCCACTATCCAACTTGAAAACACAGTGAAGTAAATATTTACTCCACTAATAGTAAATTTATAGAACAGTTACATACAAATGGGAAGTAGATGCATAACGTAAACATTTGCTTAAGTCCAAATTCATATAACATCCATCATATATCTGTCCGCATATATCTTTAAAAAAAATTGGATCAATATTTTATCCCTAATTTAATGCATAAAGTTGAATGACAGTTTGTCATGGCATCACGAGTAGTTGCCAATCGGTCTCCTTGTAGGATGTGGCAAAGTGTGAATAGTGCTAATTTGACTTGATAAATTTGCTCCAATGACAAAAATGCTGACTCTTGAAGAACATTTAAATGAATATTCAAATTGACAACTTCTCGTAGTGAGTCATTGATTACAACCCAGAAGGTCAACAAACGCTTCGCGATCGGATTCACTATCAATGTCTTGAGAGTGTTTGAACAGATGATAGCGTTGTCATTGCATTCTCAAGCTCCTCAATCAAAGCGTTCTTGCAAAAGTCGGATTCATCATTTTGATCATCGAAACACTGCTAGATCTCAACATAGAGATTGTAATCATCGGCATCATCCAGAAGTCTGCAACAATCTTGAAAAAAATCCACAATTTTGTCAACATCATTATCATCACAAGTTGTATCGCTGATATTGCAAAAACTGGAAATGATATTTACTTTCTTGAAATGATTTTTCAAACTTTACGCTGGGATGATATTCCATGCAATATTAACAAAGTTAGCAACTTCCCCCAAATGAGGTGGCTTGACATAAACAACTCTTGCAGCATCGCTTTTCATTTTTGATATTCATCATGTTGCAGACGTAAGATGTATCATATTGATCAATAACAGAATCCAACTCTTCTAGAGCTTTGATAATTTCAAGATCGTTTTTGTCAATTTTTCCGTTTTTTCCAAAAAGATTGATTGAGTTCAACTGGCAAACCATCCCGAAGAAGCCTTGAATTTCTTCTCTAGTATTTACAAACCAGAAGCGATAATTTTTGCCTTATGACAAATAATATTGGTAGTCAATGCAAGTGACATTCGACAATCAATTTGAATCCACTCGAATAGAATCTTCAGAGTTCAGTAAACATCCCTTAACATGCACAAAATATGAATTTCTGGGTAGCTTGATTTATTTTCTTAGCTCTCTTATGGATTTTGTTTTTGGTAGATTTCAGTTTTCAAATAATTTTCTTATACACTTTATATTCACGGTCAATATTGCGCATTGAAGTCAGATTTTGCTGTTCTAACAATGATATTATCTCTATTTGCTGCCGGTGGACGAAACAAGTTGCAAGTTCATTTCTCTCAATTAAACACGGTTCAAAGATCTAAAATGTGGATTCGCAATGGATTCTCCATATCATAATGTGGAATTAAGCGCATAATTACCGTACAAAGTCTTCAATCGTAGTTTTGTGAGTTACCCCTTTCGGGATGCAATTTGGCTACAATTGTGCATGATTACGGCTTGCAAAACAAGCCGCAATTTTTCTATTGTGTCTAGGAAACAAATATTTCGTGCATTATATTTGTAATATTTCCGGCCACTTAACTCGCATTTATAGATATTGTTTGGTGCAAAGTTCTTTTCCGTCATTGCAAAATTTCATTGCGACAATGATAAAATTAAAATAGTAATTCTTCACCCCTTTTTAATTTTTTTGTCTTACATTATACTTTCTCCTCATCGGAGAAAGATCATTTTCAGATTTCAATAAAGGAGGATGTTTCAGTATATTTTAGAGTTTTATTCGGTCTGCAGACGTTACGTCTTACATCTGTTTTTAATAACTGTCCCATTGACACATCATTTTCAGTCGAATTGTACATAGTCACCTTAGGATATTTGCGTTCAATCTTTGGACTTCTATTGAAGCGAGAAATCTGATTATAATCTTCCTCAAGTCTGATTTGTTCTTAATCAATTGACTTGCAATTGGAATTGAGCATGAGCCAGAGCTTCTGTGCGATTTGTCATTTCAACACTTTGACGAACTTACATACTACATAATAAAATGCTTCCAACTTTTTACGTCAAGTCATAATTTGCACCACAAAGCAAGAGCTGATTTGCAAACATTATCCAAGACCTTGCAGCATAGAGAGGTTAGTCCCTGCAGGAGGTACTCGTTACGCATTTTAGGGTTACATTCCTGTAAACTTTGTGGAGTTTTTCTAGGTAAGACTCTGGTGAGCTCGCATTTCTCAATATTCGCTGCAACATATCGCTTTGGTAATCTTTTATTGAGATCCACAACGACTCTTCTCTCTCCGCAACAAACATACTTCCACGTTAGAATGTGACAAGGACTCCCTCCCTCCTGAAGAGAGGATCTAACCTAGTCATAAATTCCATCGCTGATCAAATATCTCTTCTAATCTCTACATCTCTTCTTTCTACGATCAAAAACCTACATTGCATTAAACTACACCGTTGACTCGAATGAACCCAAGACATGATGATTCCAGAGTGCGTTTCAAGTGCAGAGCTTGGGCCTACCGTGCCAAACATGTGATGCGCTAGGAAGCAGCAAATCGCGACAGAAACTGTACCTCACCGGAGCCTAGGTGAGGAGGGAGGGAGGATCTTCTTGGACCGCGAGAAGACTGACAAAACTTACGACAGCGGTGGATCGATGCAGAATCATTGTGGGTGACGTCGAATTCTGGCAGTCCGGAGCATCATGACTGCGCACCAAATCATGACGCGAACCCGCAAAAAGTGAAGGGCTGGCAATCACTCCCCGAGGGCAGGGCGGGGGAGGGAAGAAGGACTCCAGCCAGAGACTCCGAGAGAGCTCGAGAAGAACAGAAGCCTTCTGATTCTCGTGACATTTGTGTAGAACACGCTCATCATAACCCCCAATGCAGCTGTATGGCCGTTGCCGCCGTGACGACGCTCCCGCGCGGCGAGTCTCGTCGGCCGGTCCGTCCGTAAATTTGTCGGTCCGTCCGTCTCTTTCTGTGAGAACGTCACTTCCGGTAAGATGACTACCCACTAATCCCGTCAGACATGAACGGTGACCCACGAGGAATCGTTACGGAGCACCTAATAATATGCCCCCGGTCGTCCATCCGCTCCCGTCCGTCCTCTCACTAAAACCGAGGCGGACGCTGGTCCTTCCACGCGACGCGGATCGCCTGCAAACGTATGTCGGAGATGATCGAAATCCGACCGTCCGTCTGCCCTGCTCTACAACCCCTATCTACCCACCTTAAACCTCCCCCGGGAAAAGCCAGATCCGCTCTGCTGCTCCTGCTCCGATACGATCCCGGCCGCTATCTCTCTCTCTTCCCCCTTCCTCTGTCTGCATTGAAGATCTAGTTCGCCTTCCGTCCGACCGGCTCACAATCTCACCGTCGACGTTCGACGAGCTCCGTTCGTTTGCCCCTCGCTGCCTCTACGATTACGGCAGCGTCCCTGGCTTCGTATCTATACATACGTACATTGCAAAAGGCTACTCATACTGTACAGAATGCCACTCGGCTTAGAGTGACTGTGCTGCTGCTGCTGCTGCTGTGGTGGCAGTGCCAGTGGGAGTGGTTGAGTCCAGTCCGACACCGGAACAGACGGCAGAGCGGGGGGCAGGGGAAGGGGGAGGGCGGACCTGAAGTCTTTGGGGGACAATCGAACAGACAGGGTGGTGGACGAGAATGGACGAGAATCGACAAGTGGACCAATCGGCTGCGAATTGAGTGACGTGGCATAAACCACGTCATGTAGGAAGGGTGACGGGGAAGGCCGGCTCAGCTAGAAGGTCAAGAGATCGTCCGTGAGGAGGATTTGCTGGGGCTTAAGCTCGCGGGAGTCCATGCTGCCGGTGCGGACGGTGGGGCGGACGTCGGAGAGCATCTGCACGACGTCGCGCATGGTGGGGCGGTCGATGGGGTGGTCGCCCGAGCAGAGCAGCGCGACGCGCAGCACCAGCATGACCTCCTGCAGCGGCACCGTGACACCGCCGACGCGCGGGTCCAGAATCTCCATCACGCCCTCCTTGGTCTGGATCTTGGTGCGCACCCACTGCACGATGTCCACGCCGTCGCCGAACTCGGGCTCGATCGGCCGCTTGCCCGTTAGCAGCTCCATCAGCACCACCCCGAAGCTGTAGATGTCGCTCTTCTCGTTCACCTTCAGCGTGTACGCGTACTCTGCACCACCCATCACCCAACGTCAGTATAGCTCCAGCCCCATTCCTTCCCCATCCCCCACTCCCCGACCCGGCGCGCGTTACCCCGCGACGACTGAGCCCTGTTCAGGCGCGCGTCCACATCACGAGGGTGGGGGGACGAGCGTCATGACATTTCATTCCCAAAAGCCCATCCCCTGGACCGTTCCGGCCCGCGTCCAGCCCAACGAGGGCACAGGCCCCCCGTCAGGGGCGAGCGGCAGCGCAATGTCGATACAAATCCACCCTCAATCCCCACGAGCGCAATGCACCCCGCGTCGAGGGCGAGCGACGGGGAATTCATGGAAAAAAACTTGTAATTACTCGAATTCGGAATTTACGAACGTCATAATGATTCATTCTCAAGCCCCCGTTCCTTTCTCCCCCCTACCCGACATTCGCACCCCCCCCCCCGTCCAGCCAGCGAGCGCAAGCGCAGTGAGGGGGGAATTCATGGAAAAAAACGGAATTCGAATTCGAATTACGAAAGAGCGACGGCGAAGGGAAATTACCGGGGGCGATGTAGCCGTAGGAGCCGGCGATGGAGGACATGGACTCGGACTTGCCGGAGTCCTGGAAGAGCTTGGCGAGGCCGAAGTCGGCGACGTGGGCCTCGAGGTTGGAGTCGAGCAGGATGTTGTTGGACTTGACGTCGCGGTGCACGATGAGCGGCGAGCAGTCGTGGTGCAGGTAGCAGAGCCCGTGCGCCGCCTGCACGGCGATGCTGTAGCGCATGTTCCAGTCCAGCACGCCGCTCTTCTTGCCGTGCAGGAACTCGCCCAGGCTCCCGTTCGGCATGTACTCGTACACCAGCAGGTTCATCTCGTTGTTCGTGCAGAACCCCAGCAGCCGCACGATGTTCCGGTGCCGGATCTTCCCCAGCGTCCGGATCTCCGCCGAGAACCCGTGGTCGTGCGACGACGTCCCGCGCCCGCACGCCAGCCTCTTCACCGCGACCATCTCCCCGCTCGCCATCTCGCCCTTGTACACCGTCCCCGCGCCGCCGCGCCCGATGATGTTCTCGTCGCTCAGGCACTCCACCAGCTCGTTCGCCGTGAACTCCAGCCGCTGGAACGGCGTCAGCTTCCACGGCCGGATCTTGCCCTCCTTCCGCAGCACCTTCGCGATGAAGTGCCGGTACTTCTTCACGAAGCAGCACATCCCGACCAGCAGCACCACCAGCGCCGCCGAGAACAGCGCGCCCACAAGCCACGCCAGCAGGTCCGGGTTGCCCTTCGCGGCGCCCGCGCCCCGCCCCGTCCCGTTCGAGGCCGGCGCGTCGCGCTCGCTGCAGGGCGCCAGCACTGCGCCGCCGCACAGCAGCGGGTTGCCTTCGAAGGCCTCGTAGCTGTAGTACTCGGCCTCGCCCAGCGTCGGCACCGGCCCCGACAGGTTGTTGTAGGAGAAGTCGACCTGCGTCAGGCTCTGGATCAGCCCGAACCGCTCCGGGATCGAGCCGGTCAGATGGTTGCGCGACAGGTTGAGAATGGCGATCACCGACAGCTGCACGAGCTCGGGAGGGATCGCGCCCACCAGGTCGTTCTTGCTCAGGTCCAGCCGCGACAGGCTCGAGCAATTCGCAAGCGTCGCGGGGATGGAGCCCATCAGGTAGTTCACGCTCAGGTCGAGCACCGAGAGCGCCGGGATGTCACAAATCGTCGACGGGATGTACCCCGTCAGCTGGTTGTCCGCGGCTTGCAACGTCTGCAGCGCCGCCAGCCCGCCCACCGCCTCCGGCACCGTGCCGACCAGCTGGTTACTCGAGAGCATGAGCACGCGCAGCATGGGCGCCGTCATGGTCGCCGGAAGCGGCCCGGTGAAGTAGTTGTTGTTCAGCTGCAGCATCGTGACGTTGCGCAGGTTGAAGAACTGCGCCGGCACGGTGCCGTTCAGGAAATTGTCGTGCATCCGGACGTACTCGAGCGAGGCGCAGGCGGCCAGCCCCGGCGGCACCGGCCCGATCAGCCGGTTGTCCATGACGATCAGGTTCGTGAGCCTGCCTCCCCGACACAGGTCCGGCGGCAGCGTGCCGGTCAGCTGGTTGCTCGACACGTCCAGATAGATCAGCCTCCCGCTCCGGCCCATGCTCGCCGGGATCGGGCCGGTCAGATTGTTCTCCCACATGTTGAACACCTCGAGCGCCGGCAGATCGCCCAGCGCCGCCGGAATCTCGCCCTCGAGGAAATTCCGGAACAGGCTGATGAGCGTCACATTGGCCAGGCCCCCGAACGAGGCCGGGATCGGGCCGCTCAGCTGATTGCTCGACACATCGAGCGAGAGCAGATTCGAGAGCGAGCCGAGCTCCGGAGGCAGCGAGCCCGACAAGAAATTGCCGTAGAGAAAGAGGCTCTGGAGATTGCGCAAATTGCCGAGCTCCTTGGGAATGCTGCCAGTGAGGCCGCACGATGGGATGTCGAGCAGCTGCAGGTTGGTCAGCTGGCCGAGCTCGGGCGGGATCGAGCCATCGAACTCATTGAAGTAGCCGAGGAAGAGCTGCGTGAGGCCCGTGAGGTTGCCGAGCTCGCGAGGGATGGCGCCCGTGAGGGAGTTGCCCGACAGAGAAAGATACTCCAGGTTCTGGCCGAAGCTGCCGTACTCGACGGGGATGCTGCCGTCGAACGAGTTGCCGCCTAGATGGACCTTCTTGAGGTTGCGCAGGCCCACGATCTGCAGCGGCAGCTTGCCCGACATGTTGTTGTTGTAGCAATCCAGAACCTCGAGCTTCGTGAGGTTGGCGAAGCCCGCCGGGAAGCCGTCGGAGAAGAGGTTTTTGGTAATGTTGAAGAAGCGCAGGCGCGTCAGCTCCGAGATGTCGTCCGGGATGGGGCCCGTGAAATTGTTCGCGTCGAGGCTGAGTGTCGTCAGATGCTTGAGCGATCCGATGACCCCCGAGATGGCCCCGGACAGATTCATCCGCGACAGGCTCAACGAGATGACATTGCCCAGCGCGTCGCACGCCACGCCGGTCCAGTTGCACGGCGTCTGCGACGATTCCACCCAATCGAGCAGCACTCCTTCGTCGTCGACGATGGAGGACTTAAGCGCCAGCAGCGCCACTCCGTCCGACGAAAGGGCTGCGTTGCTCTCGAAGCAATGCGACGCTGTCACCACGAGCATGAGCAGAATGGAAGTCCACATACCTCCCCGGAGACCCTCCATTTGCCTCCTCGCTCGGCACGAGGGGGCCGTCGCCTCCCGCGACTCTCGAGTACGAAGCAAGGAGAACTTCTGAACCCACGAGTCGATATGCGCTAATGATTGATCGTTCGACCTCACACCCATGAAGCTTTCAGCTGCTGCTCCTTCTGCTGCTGCTGCTGCGCCTTAAGCTGGGGGCGTAGACCGCCCGACTCGTCCTCGACAACGACCTCATTCCGATCCACAGAGGTCGACCTGCTCGAGCTCGTCCCGGCATTCTGTTGCGCACTGCTGCTGCTGTTGCTGCCGCAGGAGCATACATCTCATCCCGAAGCAATTCCCCTCCGCCTCCTCGTCCTGATCTCAATGAAGGCATTCCTCGACCCATCCTTGCGCGCAAGTAGCATCATGTCCCCGGCGCCCGACGCTCGCAGAATATAAAAAATAATAGGAAGGCAGCCGCAGAGTGAGTGCTCTGTCGTTCAGTGATCAGTGCCAGTCTAACCAACCTTTCAACACTCGGAGGCTGTGCGGGAGCGAGAGGCGCAACTAGCCAGGCCCGACCGCCGCGCCAGCGAGCAAGTGCAAGCGAGCAGCAGCCGCCCAGCCCAACTGACCGGACCAGACTGACAGTAAAGGAAGAGGAGGATAGGATCGGCTCAGCAGCAGCCTCATCAACTCAGAAGCTCAGATCAGATCAGTTTTGTTCAGTTCAGCTCCGCTCAACTCAGCTCACAGCTCAAGCTCAGCTCAGCTCTCACTCACTCAGTCCAGTTCAGTGCGCACTCCTTTCAATTCTTCGCTCCCCCGGACACAAGAGCACCCGACACGCTCCGGACTCTAATGCACTGTACCCGTCTTTACGCAGCAGCATGTATGCTCTGATCCTTCGGTTCAATTGCATCCGCGCGTTTTGCGCGCTTCCCTTGCTGCAGACTCGCAGCAGCTGTGCAGTGGAGTCAGTCCGTCAGGACTCAGCCTAGTGTGAGAGAGAGAGAGAGGAGAGTAAGAAGGGAGCGAGGGAGGGAGAGGGAGAGGGAGGGAGGGAGAGAGAGAGAGAGTGAGTACGCACGCATAAAGTAACCAACGAACGATCTGATGCCATTAATTCTCACCACATCGTCCCCCCACTCCGCTCCACTCCACTCCCATCACTCAGTGCAAGAACACCTCACCTCGCTGCACGAACAGGCCGAGCAGTGCACATCCCCCTACCATGCTCCCATGCTCCCTCCCTCCCCCCCGGGGTTCCCGACTTCTTAGCTGCTGTCCTCCCTTCGTCTTTTCGCCTTTCCCTCTTCCCACCTGCTTCTATACATACTCTGTACATGTACATTAACAGTACAGTACAGTAATGGGATCTGATACGCTCACCTCTACTGCTGTAGAACCAGCCGCCTTCCGACTCCTGCCTGCCTGCCTGCGGGTGGGACCCAGGGGCTAATGCTAATGACTGTTTGACAGTCTGACCGACTAGCAGACTCTGGTCTCTTGCAATCTGGCACTGCGTCCTCGTCGTCATCGGTCAGCCCTGTCGTCCATCGGGTCTTCGAGCGAAGGGGATCCAATTTCCAAATATCCGCATCGGCTCTCGCCTTCCGTTTCCTCTCTCGCTTCCACTGAAAAATATTCCTCGCTCGTTCGTAGCTTCCTTCCTTCCTTCGGCACGGCCGTACCTCCGGTCCGCCGGGCCGGGCCGGGTCCGTCTCTCGGGCAGAGGACGCGCACAGCGGACCGAAGATACGTGCGTACCATAACACAGCGCCGTCGTTTTTCCATGTAGCGGTGTCCTCTGAATCTAAGAGCTAAATTAATGGAAATACTGACGTATGAGTGCATTATTGACTCTAGAACCTCTTCGTAGGCGCTCTGCCCATTGATGGGATGCGATGGGGCCGGGCCCTTGAAGGGCCGCATTTTCTTCGCCTCTTTTCGGACCTTCCAAAGAGGTCCTACATTGATGAATCGACGGCCTCTAGGCCCTCGTAGACCTGTATGGTCGAAAGTAGCTCGGCCTGGCCGGTCTGTCTCGAAAGACGACGCCTTTTCCTCGCCTTGAACTCTTTTCAGCTTCTAGCGGTCTTCCGGTAAAGATCTTCCTTTTCTGTTCGTATTTACTGTTCGGCTTTTGCGCTCTTTCGGGACATGCCCGATGAATTTAATCTGGCTTGCATTGCGGACGGGGCATGTACATTTCGGTACACAGTCTGCCAAAGGGAATGTCAACACATTCATCCTCTACACATCTGAGATCGCACGTCTCTTACATGCCTACACATATGACCCCAATTGGTAGGGGCGAATTTGAGTGCCCAGTGAATAATTAGTGTGTGGGAAATTTTTTAATTGATCTATTATTATACGTTAAATATATTTACTTTATTTTATGTGCAGGAGGAAACAGGAATATTTTTAATTCTTAATAGTAATTTAAATTTTATATTTTTTCACATCATTTGTAGATCATAATTATAGATATTAGTATATCTTTATCACATAATGATCAAATTTATGATCATAATGTTGATTCTATAATTTTGGGGGGTTTGATCGAGTATTTCATTGTTATTTATGTCCATGTGACACTTGTTGACTACTGTATGCAAAGAGTATCAAAATAACACACTGAAAAAAGTGGTTTCTTTTTCATTTATTTCGAATCGATTTAACACCGTTCTCTATTCGAGTGGGTTTTACGTCATAGATGAAAAGTAGTGGAGAAGAATTATACTTACTCACTCATATGAGTGCGGACACTTTGGTGAACTCTCAAATAACTGTCTAGTGCACCAAAGTTCCTTTGGCCGTAAATTTGTTCTATGGTTTTGTATACGTTAGCGATACAGCCCGGAAGCTATAAGAGAAAGTCCTGAAACTAGAAAAAAGTAAATGATCAGGAGTACAGAAAGAGAGCCCGATTGAAAGCTGAACCACAAAATTCAGAATCAAAAGTTGTAACGACCTATTATCAAAAGTAGGCATACCGGTGAGGTTTTGATCATTCTGTTAAAAACGTCTTCAGACAAGAAAGCCCGTAAGATGTCGTACTAATCAAATCCAAGAATAACATAAAGCTAGAATATCAGTATCCATATTGTTATGTCGCGAAGAAATATTGTAGAACTTTGGGCCCAGGTAAACATACTCAATAGTTGCACAGTAGTTTAAGAGTTGCTGAAGAAAAATTCTTGCCTTATGTTTCTAGTTTCAGGGCATTGACTCAAGAGGTGACTACGAGCTTCGTCGAATGAACCATGTTTTCTATACCATGGTGATTTATTTAAAACCAGAGAAAGTAAAAAGCAATGGCCGTGTGATCTCCTTCGAAGTTGACAAATGAAAGAAGACTTCGTTTGACTGTGAGGGCAAAAAAATAATTTTTTATGCTTCCTAGATTCATTCGTTTTTAAGGACCTTACATACGAACTTCTTTGAGTTGCCTTTGCAGGAATTTTTCCAAATTCGTGCAAAGTAAACCGCGGGAATCTACACGCCTTCATTACAAAGCTACGAGGTGAGGTAAAGAAGAGAACATAAATGTGGACCATGTAGTTCTCTAGGGGACTTCGACTTAAGGCATGTTTGGCAAAATAGTTGGATTTCGTCATTTCCTTTCACATTCATATGAGCTGCAAATGATTCTCATCATTCTAAAAGATAGTACACAAAAAAAAAAACTCTGAGCCTTTCATAGTATTAGGAAGAGCTCTGAATGATATCCATTGCGTGGCTCTCGATGATGCTTTAAAACAGTCAGAGATGTCTGCCTCATAATCAAAGGATAAGTAACCTGCTTTTTATTGCTAATTTTTAATGAATCTGTCTGTAAGAGACTCGAAATCTTTAAGTTTGGTTTGTAGATCTCCAGTTTCGTAGATTCTGGCATAACCATTTAAGCCAAAATAAAATAAAATGTAAACGATCGTTTTTTTAGACAAAAAAATACATCTCCGACAGCTTTCATCCTATCAAAAGATGTACGCACGGTATCAGGACAAAGAACAAGCTTATCATGTGGTTTTATTGTTACGGCTGCTGATGGATTTATCACTAAAGGTGTGAATGATATGTTTTTCCATTGAGTTAATATGTTCTACGGCTTCAGTGAAATCGATGATATCTACAGATATTAGAGACAATAAGCCCAGAAGAAAAATTAGAGTTTTAATTTGCTACGTATGGAGTTGAAAGTGCGAATCGAGAAATGACAGGAGGTACAAATGCTTGATTGAGAGGGTAGGAGGAGGTTTATATGCTACGAGTGATATACATCTCAGATTTAATTTAGGGGGTTATCAAACAATGTAATATTCGTGTAAAATGATCGTCAAATGTTTTCATAGCATAAAGTACAATTAATGAAAGCTTTAATTATCTGAAGTATTTAAGATCAGTAGACGAACAGTATGAAAATGAAGTAATATATAAATGATAGTTTTTCCCCAAAAACTAACTTTTAGCGATCTAATTTCTATTCTATATTCTCTCCATTTACAAGAATGTAGCCAAAAATTGATTATTAGTCTATTCTGAAACATAACAGGAACATATTTTATGACATAGAGAATATAAGCGTTTTTGCACGGTGACTAAATAACAATTATCATTACGCATAGTGTGCTTTACACTCCCGTCCATAAATATTTAATTTTGTTTTAAGTTCTCATATTTTTCACATAAGTTTCATGATTTTGATATGCATTAAATTGCAACGAGCCCAACAAACAAATTCAGCATACGACGAGTCTTATTATTAACTAGAACAGAAAAAATATTTGTAAACGGATCCACAGTTCGGTATGCATATAAATTATCATATAGAGAAAAGGAATCATCTCACCTTGAGTATGAAATCCATCTGCAAGTTCCCTCTTCAAGATCAAATAATGCAGAACCGAAACTAAGGCCAATCATCTGTCTGAATCCCACATGGACATATGTACGAACTGTAAGCGAGATCGTAACGGATTCAGAGGTCGGGGAGATCGAACTTTAGTGGAAGCGTCTCCTGGGAGCTTACCGATGACAACGAAATTAGCCGGCAGGTTCCCGAAATTTCTGCAACCGGCCAAGCAAAAGCGAAAATGCCAGCCTTTCCACATTTCAGAGCTACACCGGAAAAGAAAGCCCACTTGCCTGGAAAGTCTCCCCCACTCCACCGAGCAATGACCGAGATACGGACCGCGGACCACGGATGTAGTTATCCTCCTCGAAATGAGCTTTCGAGACAATCACGTACATCAGTTACGTGGTTCCAACGTGATAGAGTGACGGGCCTAAGGCGAGCCCGAGGTACAGACTCCTCGGGACGCAAATGGGATATCCGACGAGACGGGAAAGCGGGTTCCGGACCGGATTCCCCGTCGCACGCCGCCCTGTCAGCGGAAACGTCGGCCGTGCTGAAATCGCCGGGCGAGCGGGCGCTGTCCGCAGTCCGGAGGCCGGTAGCGTGGCGTAGAGTGTGTTGGAACTCGTGAAAGCGGGAGGTCCGATGGATGTGGTGGACGGCCTACCGTAGTTAGCTCCTCCGCCGGGACTCCGGACTATGCACTAGGCTGGTACATGGTTCAGGCCCAGGCCCAGGCCCTGGAAACAGCGCCGCATGCAACCTGACGCAGTACGATACGGCTGGGCAGGGGTCCGAGGGGCCGGCCCGCGCTGCTTCTTTTGTTGCATGTGCGGGCCGGGAGGAGAGGAGAGAGGCGAGGCGAGGGGAGGGAAGGGCAGGCAGAAATGGAGCTGACATCATGAGCTAACAAACTGCAGAGAGTGGAGGGGTACAGGTCTCGAGTTATAATATGATTAGGTTGAAGCCCGAGGCCACCGACTAATTGTTGTACAGTAGTAGTAGCAGCAGCAGCAGCAGGATTGGGAGGATTGGGAGAATTGTCGTTCGGGAGAGCGAGGGCTCCAGTTTGTCGATTTGGAAGAGGGCAGAGAAAGAAGGAGGAGAGGGGAGAATCTCGAAGTCTAGTGGCGAAGTGGCTAAGTGTTGAGTGGTGGTCATTATGGGGAGTGACAAGATCGAGTACCTTGTCTGGCCGAATTGATTCGGCTTTGCTCGCTCGGCTTAGCGCCTGAGCGCGTCTTGGACACTTGCATGATGGCTAATGGGCCGAGAGCCGTCATCGTAATCTTCAGCCCACCGAAGCTGATGCATGCTCCGAGAGCCGGCGAGAGCAGACGTTTTGGGCCGTTTCGCACTGGTCCATCTGGT